AGAATTATGAATTGTGGATTTATCATACTCTTCTTGAATGATTTCATTTGGATTTAGTTGTGCCCTTGTCTTTCTCTTTCGAGGGGCTAAATCTTTTGAACCTGGAGGTCTACCACGCTTCAGGCGTGCACCAAATGAATCATTCGCTGCCACTTTATTTTGTCCAACAGGGACATCAATTCTTGCAGGTGCGTTTGCAGCTGGTATATGTTATTTTGTCACTTTCATAGTATCATTAAATGCATCTGACATTTGATTGGCAATACTTTGAAGATGACCGATCCTTTTCACTTCATTTTCAAATTTCGAGGATCAAAATGAGACAAGATGGGAACAACCCATGTCAGCTCTTTCCGTTCTTCTGGAACAGTCTTTTCTCCCCCTAACGACGAGAAGACTGTCTCATCAAAGTGACAATCAGCAAAACGAGCTGTAAACAGATCACCTGTCAAGGGTTCCAAATATCTAATGAGAGATGGTGAATCAAAACCCACGTAAATTTCCAGTTGGCGCTGGGGTCCCATTTTAGTGCGTTGCGGTGATGCAATAGGTACATAAACAGCACAACCAAAAACTTGTAAATGTGAAATATTTGGCTGATGTCCAAACATGAGTTGTACTGAGGAGTATTGGTGGTTGACTATAGGTCTCAATCGAACCAATGATGTAGCATGTAAAATGGCATGTCCCCATGCAGAAATTGGCAATTTTGTTTTCATAAGCAAAGTGCGGACTATTAACTAAAGTCGCTTAATCAATGTTTTTGCTAAACCATTTTGAGTTTGGACATGAGGAATAGGGTGTTCAACATCGATGCCCAATGTCATGCAGTAATCATCAAGGTTTAAGATGTAAATTCACCAGCGTTATCAAGTTGGATTGACTTAATAGGGTAATCTGGGAACTGTGCTCGTAATTTAGTTATCTGAGTAAGAAGTCTCGCAAAAGCTACATTCCGAGTAGACAAGAGATAAACATGTGACCATCTGGTAGATGCATCAACCAAAACCATAAAATATCGAAATGGTCCACAAGATGGTTGAATAGGCGCACAAATATCCCCTTGAATTCTTTGCAGAAATGATAGGGATTCAGCATCAACCTTTAGTTGTGATGGTCTAATTACCAACTTCCCTTGAGAACAAACCTTGCAAGGGTTATCATTTGAGATAGCAATGTGTCTGCTTAATAATGGATGTCCATTAGAGTTGGTAATGATCCTACGCATCATGGTAGATCCTGGGTGACCTAGACAGTCATGCCAAAACATGTAAACTTTTGAATTAATGAACTTCTGGTTCATGACATTATGTGATTCAATTGTTTTTATGTATGTATAATACAATCCACTCGACAAACCATGCAACTTCTCCAATATACGCTTATGGGTATCATTGGAGGTAATGCATAGATACTCCACATTTTTTGCACTTTTCATTTCAATGTGGTATCCATTTAAACGTATGTCTTTGAAACTCAACAAATTTCGAGTGGATCGAGTAGCGTACAATGCATTCTGTATGGACAATATTGTTCCATTTGGTAACATAATCTGGGCTTTCCCTAAGCCTTCAATTACATCTGAAGGTCCTGATATTGTTGTTACCCTTACTTTTGTAAGCATCAATCTTGAGAAATACTTTCGATCTCAAAGTATTGTATGCATAGTTGCGCAGTCTGCAAGATAAATATCTTTGCCATTTCTCATGTTTTGAGAATGACCATAGTTTTTATCCATGCTCTCTAAGTAAGAGAATCAAAGTTAAAAGCAAGTTATAACAGGAAATTTACATGCCACTTTTATTGAATTTGAAATGCAAGTTTTAAACTACAAGTTCAACATAATGAAAGTACATAAACGATTCAGTTGGACCAATATACTTCATTTCCCCTTTCCACAATAAAATCTGAAACATTTAGGTGGGTTGTGTTCAACTGCCCTGATAAGTCGCACACTGGATTAGGTGTATCCATTAGTCTAGTTTGGTCGAGGAAATTAGTCTTGACACCCTTCTCCTTGAGGGTGGCTTGATACAGATCCACCAGATGTTTTGGGGTACGACAAGTACGCGCCCAATGCCCATTGCCACCACACCTATGGCAGGCTCCTTCAGAGTTCCTGGAAGCATTGTTCATATGAGCTTTGCCTTTGTGGCGATTCACATTTTTGAAGCTTGTACCTGAATTATGCCTTAGAACCTGGTTGTGAAACTGAACTCCATGGTTCTTGCCTTTCCTGTTCCACCGATCTTGCTTGTGGCCACGTCCTCGTTTATGATTATCACCACCATAGGATGTGGCGTTCACCTCGAGGGAAGCAACATTCACTTCTGGGAATGGTGCAGATTCAGTAGGTCGAGAATGATGATTTTTTATTAGGAGCTCATTGTTTTGTTCAGCAACCAGGAGTACAGAGATCAGCTAGTTGTATTCAGTGTAGCATCACACTCTATACTACTGCTGGAGGAGCACGTTAAAGGCATGAAATGTGCTGAAAGTCTTTTCCAGCATATCTTCCTCAATAATGGTATCCCCACAGAGCTTCATCTGAGAGGTAATTCTGAACAACGCAGAATTGTACTCAACTACTGACTTGAAATCCTGAATCCTTAGGTGAGTCCACTCATAGCGAGCTCTTGGAAGAATCATCGTTGACTGGTGATTGTATCTAATTCTCAAAGTTTTCCAAAGAGCTAACGAATTTTCAACCGTTAAGTACTCACTCTTTAGTCCCTCATCAAGATGACGACGAATAAAGATCATGGCCTTCACCCGCTCTTTAGAGGATGAGTTGTTCTCTTCCCTAATGGTATCTCCAAGATTTCCTGCTTCCAGATGGATCTTGGTGTCCAGTACCTAGGTAAGGTAATTCTTCTCAGAAATATCTAGGACAGCATAATCAAGTTTTGTTAAGTTCGCCATTTTCTTTTCTGAAAGAAAAATGAGATATTTAAGAACTTGCAATAATATGTATTCTTGGAGGAATATAGTATTAGAACTTCTGGTTCTTACGAATTTTTTTCATTTTGATCTTCAGGCCAAAATGATAAGCAGTCGAAACTTCTGGCTCGAGATTTTCAAGGTGAATGAGGAGGGCGATTGTACCGCACCATTCTCATTGAAATAATATAACATAGAATGGGCGATTATTCCGCATCACTCAAGTAGCAGGAAAATTTAAATACGCAGAGTAGTGTGGGTGATTATACTGCTCCACCTAAAATTGCAATGAAATTAAACTGCAGACAAATTTAAATATGCAGGGTAGGGTGGGTGATTATACCGCTCCACCTAAAATTTGCAGTAAAATTAGATATGTAGTCCAAGATAGACGATGATACCACACCATCTTGGATCGCAGTAAGAATAAATTTGCAGTTCAAGATGGGCGATTGTACCGCATCATCTTGGATTGCAGTAAAATTAACATAAATAAATATTGGGTTAGTAATCAATATCTACACCAAACAAGAAATCAAAGATATATGTAACTGTTAGTTTGAGAACTAGAAGCAGGCATGGAGCAAATAGTTCGTCGCGAGGGTATACAACGCAGTTGAGGCAGAGGAAGAAGATGAATAGTAAAAACCTTAAAGGAAACATTTTTTCTTTCTTTCGTTCGGCGAAGAGAAATGAGAGAATGATTATATTTTAGAAACTCGTACTAATAACGTGTTATAAATATGTAAAAGTTAGAGAGATAACCTTTTTAGTGATAGGTGCGAGGTAGATATAAAGTACCACACCGGAAATATAACTTAAGTGGATGACAAATAAAAGACAGAGGAATAGATGATGTTATTGATCTTTCTTTCTTTCTTTCAGTCTGTATGTTTTTCTGTGTATTGAAAGCATATGGAGTGCTCTATTTATAGAGCAACTCTAATACTGATGCATTAATTATACATTGAAAGTTTACAGTACTTCCTTTGACAACACAACCTCCATGCATTTCCAAATTCCACATTCATATGCCAAGGTTTTCGTTCATCTTCCAAGGATTTCAATATTACTGTGCCAAGGTTATTGTGGGCATTCATTACCCACTAGCATTTTCAACAAACGCCACTTTTTTTGAAGTCCAAATTGGATTGAATTTGATAAAGTTCAAATTCCAACACAACTCTCACATAGCAGCAGTCCATTTCGTTATTCCTTCATTCTTTCTTTATAGTTCTTCCTAAAAATTCACACTTATCTCCGACTATTATTTCTACAAAACTCACACAAAACACATCAAACTCACCAATTTAATATAAAATCATGACCAAATAATAAGTAAAAGAGGTATAAAACATGCATATAATATCACCCTAACAAGGAGACCAAAATTTTAATTAAATTTACAAACCAAATAATTTGTTGTTAATACGAATTAAGTATGTTAATCAATGCTTAAGTAATAATCCAATCATCAACAACCTAATTATTTGATTTATAAAATTAATTTAAAAATTTTAATATCACTAACATTATCCAAAAAAAAAGAAGGTTTACTTCCTTCCCATTCGAAAAAAGCAAAAGTGTATTTTATGGTTAAGAACGTGAAATTAAAGGAAATGGGGGCAGTATTATATTCATTAAAACAAAAAGGAAAATTCTTATATTAACATAAAATAGGGGAAATTTTTTATAAATTAACATAAAATTGGGGAAAAGAAGAAAGCAGTAAAATAAAGACAAAAAAGGAAACAAGGAAACTCATAAAATAAAAATGGAGGTGAGCTTTGAAAGGTGAGCTCTGGAAGGGAGATGGTATCATCAGGACGTCATCCGCCTTCTATTCTCTCTCTCTCTCTCTCTCTCTCTCTCTCTCTCTCAACCTCTTGAAGAAAATAAACAAAGTTAAAGTGCTCAAAATTCAAGGTGGGCCTCTTGGACCGAAGTTTCCAGCCCTCTGATGGCATATATAAATAAAGAATAATAATATTATTATGGGGAGAGGATCAAAAGGTCAAAGGGACTTGGTATTTATCCTCACAAAGCTTCACAGGGTTAGGGTTTTGTTTTAGCTCGGCTTCCAATTTCAGCTTCCGGGTTTTGCTTAATTTCTGGAAATTCACTGCCTTGAGCTCTGATTCTTCATCTTCTTTGCTGGACTTCAAACTTTAGGGTTTGTTTGTTTATACAGCTTTTACTATTGGTAAGTAAGCTATCTTATGCTACTGCTTCTGGTTTTTGTGAACTTTCATTTCTTCAGTCGGTAGGTGGCTTTTGATTGGATTTCTATTTTGTGTATATGTATTTAGAGCTAAAATCTTTCTGGTAAATTGCGTAGCTAGGACTTTGAATTTTGAATTTTGGTTCGAAAAGTCTCTTGTGTTTTGAATTTTAGGAGTTTCTGAATATTGGGTTTTTGGTTATTTCAGTGGAGGGGTTGTTGAAGGTGGGTTTCTTTGGTTTTGGGATTGGTGGCGCCGCGGCGGCAGTGATGATGATGTTGATCCATGGGCAGTAGAAGAGTGAAAGTTGATGCAAATGATGGTAATAAAGTTGTGACCGACATGCCGAGCTTTGTTCCTCCAGTACCCACTCCCAATCCCACGTCAGTATTCGCTTACAGTCCTAAATTTTTACATATTTATTGTATTATATTGTTCTTATCTTTTAAGTTTAATTGGCAGTAGTATAGATCCTTGATTTTTTAATATGTTTCCTTGGGCGTTCAGTTAGTTTAGAAGCTGTGGTCTGGCAGCGGCCTCTGTGCTGCTAGAACATGAATATAATTTTGGTAGAATTGTTGGTGCCATATGCTGCTGATATTAAAATCTCATGCTTTGTCCGGTGGTTGGACAGTATCCGCAAAAGGAACATAAATTAGAACTTAGAATCCTACAGTCTAACGGGTGGAATGGAATAACCACCACTTAAAATGACTAGGCCCTTTGTCTACTACTCTTTTATATTGTAACCCAAACAGCATATAAATGTTAGTATCTGAAGTTTATTCTTACCATATGCTTGAAGTTAAATAGAGTGCTAAGTTACAAGTAACCATTGGAAATTTATCAGATTGATGCATCAACAGCTCAAGTTTGTGTAAAAAGTATGGGGATTTAATATGGCATAACGTCTTTCCACGGTATAAACAATGTTTGCCAATGATTTGAGGCAAGGGAGTTATAGCTTTGTTTTTTCAGTTTTTGTATGACTGAAATGATAACAAAAAATAGAGCCAACGAACAGGACAAAAGAAAATTGCAACTGGATACTATTGTTCTGTTATGGAGGAATTGTTTTTCCCAATTTGATTTGAAATTATGCGACTGTTCATTGAAACAAACAGAGTAGCTGTATTATTGTTGTATCTAGTATTAATTATTAAAGTCTGTTCCGATTTGCTTATTTGCATACAAGAATATGATAATAATGATCCTAAAATTAAGGAACAGGACATATGCTACTTGAGATGTTTCCATGACCTTTAATTTGGTAACCATTTCTTCATCTGTTTACATCATGATTGAAGAAGCTTCTTAACATGTTTACGTTTGACTCTTTTTTTTTTTTTTGTGAGGAGGGGGGGGGGGGTTTGGTAGTTGAATTATGATTTCTGATGGTACCTTTTTGGCCTTATCATTCTGGCCAATGTATATGGATTTAGTTCCTTTTTTGTTGATTGCATTTGTCATTTTGGTAGTCATGATTCTGATGATTTGTGCTTTCAGTGGCACAGAGGGGAGCTCCATTCGTTCATCTCGGATTTCAGACTTTAGAACTCTTGAGCAAACTCTTGGATTTCGCATAGAGGATGCTGTTGACATTGGGAGAAGTATGTAACAAATATCTTGGTGTTTATCAGAAGCAAAATTCAATACTAGCAATTTTCCTATTCTTGTTTCTTTAAGTTGTTATTATGACAGTTCTTTGAATTTTAACGTGGTTGAACATATAAATTGTCTTATGATTTTCATACTCGGTAAATGAGCTTATGGATAAGGTTTTCTTAGTGTTCTAGTCAGCTTCCATGTTTAGTTTCCTAGTGCCTGGTTGTAGGTGTTTACTTGAATGACCTATCAGCTGAGATATACTCCTACGTTCTTGGAAGCTACTGTTCTAGTCCTGTTGTTCAATTCTTACCTTAAAACAGATCCTATTCTTCATTGGCTTTCTGAAGTGTGACTTCAGAAGCACAAGTAATTTCTGGCAGTTTTGGAGTATGATGAAGAGAAAGTGATTCTGATTCTGTTTTTTAAGTAAAAGGGGGCGTATGTAATATGTATATACACACGTACTGTCAGATAATATTTACTTTTGTTATGGTATCTCTTTGATTTTGACTTGTAATCACTTGATTATTGTTGATTTTTTAGGTCCAATGTTTAGTCAAAACAAGTTAAATCGCCAGGCAGTGGGAAGTAGTGATGCCCAATTTGGTGGTTTAAACAAGGTAATTTTGTATCTTCTCCCTCCCCCTCACAAAAGAACAAGAAAAATGAGAAATGAAAATGAAAACAGGATTAAAAAGATTAAACTTGCAAGCATTCTGGAATTCAGTCGCTTGCATCTTTGGAAATAAACCTTTTTGTTTCTTTTGTGGGATCTCAGCTTATGCCACTGCAAAAAGAGCCACAGCCAAATTTGCTCTCTGTGTCACGTAGCAATCATGAGAACTGGGGGGAGTCCAATATGGCAGATGGAAGCCCCAGGACTGATACTTCAACAGATGACACAGAAGATAAAAATCAGAAGGTAACATCTCCTGCTTCCACTTTTGCTACTTATTTTTTCATTCTTGTATCCAAGATTCAAAGTGACATATCCTTCATTTTGCCATACAAAATTATTTTGCTGCTGAGAATATTCGTTCTTCATTTGATTTTGGCTGCTTTTTATTTTTTTATTTTTTTTTTATGGTGAAATTAAATTCATTGTTCTTGTGCAGATTGAAGGGAATCAAATGACTGCTCTTCTAGCTTCTGATTCCAGTGACAGGTCAAAAGAAAAATCTGGGGATCAAAAGGTTTGGTAACTTAAACTAAATATACCATTAAATTATCATCTTGCATGATTATTGGATTACCTTTTACCGTGCAACCATTCTCTACAGACATTGCGTAGACTTGCTCAAAATCGTGAAGCTGCCAGGAAAAGCAGATTACGGAAAAAAGTAGGTTACTATTCAAGTATTTTTAGGAGTTTATTATTTTTCCCTTTATTCATTGTTAGTGTTCCCTATCTAGTAAGAGTCATGCTTACTGTTCTTTGTGGGGAAGTAATATTATGTTATGTTTCTTCTCTCAGGCATATGTACAACAACTTGAGAGTAGTCGGCTGAAATTAACTCAGCTCGAGCAAGAGCTTCAGCGAGCCCGTCAGCAGGTTGGGTTTTGTTGTCTGTATATGCTTGCATCTAATATATCATATATTTTTCATTCCTGAAATGGAAGGGCATGGGTGTCCTGTATCATATTAATGGCTTTATTTTTACAGGGAATATTCATTTCAAGCTCTGGAGATCAATCACATTCAATGAATGGAAATGGTATTTGAACCTGTTAATCTCATGTTTTCACTGGTTAATTTTTCCTGGACTTGAAATTTTGAAATTGATCGCAGAGGTGTAAATCAGCGTGCCTTAATATGCATATGTATGTTAAAGAAATTTAGTGTAAAGATGGGGTTAGGCCTTCTCTGCATTAACATTGTGATGTAGTAAGTCAAATATTTTGGGTGGATACTTCTACAGCTTCTTTGCTTTCGATTGTTCTATAATGTTGGTACCCAGTCTTTTGCAATTGGTTCCAAGCATGTCATGAACATTTAAATTATGGGTCTGTTTTTCATGTTAATAACGGTGTAGTTGCTAGCATGTTGGATGATGTTGTTCTTATGTTGTGTGATCATAAGGCAATATTCTATTCCTAGACAGTTTGGAAACATAAGATTCTTATGCTGTTAGATTATGATCTGGACCACACACCAGGTTGACAATCTGGCAAGATGGCATTATGTTGCTGAACTGTCTGGCATGAGAACATATGTTTCCCACTTAACTGATATTTGATGGTAAAATATTGTTGTTTTATTTGTATTTTTATTTCATAGGTGCTTTGGCATTTGATGTGGAATATGCAAGGTGGCTAGAAGAGCACAACAGGCAAATAAATGAGTTGAGGGCTGCCGTTAATTCACATGCGGGTGACACTGAACTTCGTACTGTTATTGATAACGTCATTGCACACTACGATGACATTTTTAGACTAAAGGGAACTGCAGCAAAAGCTGATGTTTTCCACATCTTATCAGGAATGTGGAAAACACCAGCTGAAAGGTGTTTCATGTGGATTGGCGGCTTCCGCTCATCTGAGCTCCTTAAGGTGAAAATTTGTGCTCCCTACTCTGTTGATATTTGATATGGTGATAATCCCCCTATCAACATTTATCTTCCGAGGCTTACAAAATCTATATAAAAAAAAAATTTCGACCATTTTAGTTTCTGCACAATTCCATCTCCTGGTGTATGATATGTTATTTTTAACATTTTGTTCCCTTGTTTTCTCCCAATGTGTTAACCTATTGACATGAAACTATTGTTTATGACATTTTGAGTTGGGGCTATCAGCCTAACATCATGTTTTGATATGACGGAAATGAGGCAATGTTGGATCTATGGCTTCAATTCTACATCTACTAGTTTATGGATCACCCACACCAAACATAGCCATGTCATATATGCTCACAAAATCATGTACATGGAAACGAGTATTTCTATGGCACGATTGCTATTAATGGAAATTCTTAGTGCCCAACTTTGAAATTAATGAGTCAGCACAATTGATGTTTCTTTTTCTGTTAAGAAAGTAGTTAATGAGCTGTCAAAATTCATTTCATATATACGTGGACATAATACATTTATTCTGTCCTATCTTCTCGATTAGATCTCTGCGTCCCGTTAATCTGTTTTGACATTGGTGCAGCTTCTGGTGAGTCAATTGGAACCCTTAACGGAGCAGCAATTGGTAGGTATTTATAACCTGCAGCAATCATCCCAGCAGGCTGAAGATGCTCTGTCACAAGGGATGGAGGCATTGCAGCAATCCCTTTCTGAGACCTTGGCAAGTGGCTCACCTGCGCCATCAGGATCATCTGGGAATGTAGCAAACTATATGGGTCAAATGGCCATGGCCATGGGAAAGCTAGGAACCCTTGATGGGTTCCTCCGCCAGGTGAATTTCCTGAATAGTTAATTCCACTAGCTTGCTTTTCCGGTGTGACGACAATTAATTGCTTCAATTACAAATAGTTAAAAATAAAAACTGAATCACGAATAGGCCGGTATTGCTGAGTGACATATCTGGAGAAATGATATCGCTTTGGTGTTGGAACCTGTAGGTTGAATGGAACCACATTGCTTTTAGTATTATACTAAAAAGATAAGCTTGTATTCTACGTTTCTATTCTTCATTTTGTTTTGTTGGCCCTAAATTTCACCCATACAATATATAGTCCTTATTGATTGTTTTCAAATATGAAATGAACTGTTGTCCCTTGAGACAAAAAAACTCGGTTCTCCTTTTAAACGCAATTATACCATCTTTGTCTTACAAGAAGTTTGTTGCACGGAAGGCATGTTTAACAAGATTTGTTCACAAACTTGGTGATTTGGCCTAAGATAGGTTGCAATGTCTGTCTCAAAGGACTTCCTTTTAGTCTTGCCTAAAACATCTGAAACGTTAATTGTTATTTTTGTTTCTTTATGTACATGCATCTAGGGCACCCGGGCTATATGCTAAAATAACCTTGTCCTTCTATGAATGTAATTAATACCTTATTTTTGTAGTTTGTCAGTGTTCAGTATTTCTGCGCCTTATTTGTTTCATTCTCGTTTTGTCAATTACCAGGCTGATAATCTTCGGCAACAAACATTGCAACAAATGCATCGTATACTGACGACTCGGCAATCAGCTCGTGCACTCCTTGCAATAAACGATTATTTTTCACGTCTTCGAGCCCTCAGTTCTCTATGGCTTGCCAGGCCTAGGGAGTGATAGGCATTAGATTCCTTTATCTGAAGTTCATCAATAAGGTTGGCTAGTCTCGGAACTCAAATTAGCACCATGAACCGAGGGCCATATGATTAGATGATAGATGGACTTCAGCTATCTGGGCATCACAAACCTGGTTAAGGTGCGCGGAAGTCAAATTATTGTTCATAGTGTCCATCAAAGTTATCGGTGGTTGTCACATATGTTTGCGTAGATGATGTATTCTGTCCAAAACTGTAGTATGAATAATCTGGAAATGGTAGTTATGTAATAGAAGTGAGGGAATAGAATAGTGCTATTATTATAGGTTACAGATTGTCAATTTGTATACCAAAAATCAGATGATGTCAGAGTGAAAATGGTTTGCATTTTCTTTAGCTTTGACATGTACATATGTTGTCTCAATATTATTGGCTATATTATTTAACTGGTCTGCCATTCTGGGTGTTATGTGTAACATTCACTGCGCGTGTGAATTTGTCCGAATTTACTAAATAATGTTCTTGGCAGTTGGCGATTTGTGAGGTTTTGCGCCTTAGGTAGCAGTTTTTCGTGTGTTTGGAGGATGGAGTCGGAATCTTTGAACGAATTAGCTGCTGTGTTGTGAAACTTGTTGGATTATGATGCCGTATGAATGGCAAGAATTAGACCTGGCAATTTATTACACGATCCGTTAACACGACACGTAAACGACACGAAAATAACGGGTTTCGGGTCAACACGATAACTAATCGGGTCATTATCGGGTCACACGATAATAACCCGTTAATAACGGGTCCTTAACAGGTTTACACGAGAGTGACACGCGGGTAACCTGTTTCGACACGATAAGAAAAATGCTATTTTGATGATTTTAATTTTTTAAACTACTAAAAAAAACTTACTATAAAATGCAATAGATATAATGAATATGTATATATTGTTTATTAATTATTATTCTATATAAATTTTAAATTTTAAGTTTTATTTATTTATTTATTTTTATAGTATATTATAGGCAAAGATTGAGATTAAAAATCATAAAACACATTAAAAATAAAAATATCAAGTAATTTAAAAATACCAAAAACATAAAAAAATTATAATAATTAATTTTCCGCCTAATATTTCAAGAGTTTCATCCATTTCCCACCTAATGTTTGGGAAATTTTGCAACCTATACCCATCCATTTCCCGCCTAATGTTTAACCCAAAGAAAAAAAATAACCAGCTTTTTTTTTTTTCTTTTTTTATCTCTTATAACATTTTAACTTGAATAAAAATAAAATACGTAATAAAAAACATAAATGTAATTTTATTATTAAATATCATCACATACTAATTCAAACATAGTCTAATTAACACTTAAAATATATAAATAATTAATATATTTATTCAAAGTCATCAAAACGATAAGATTCACTAACGCTTAAAGTTTATTTATACTTTCATTAAGTATAACATCAATGCATATCCCATCAAAACGATGAGAGTATGAATAAACTTTTAAATGTTAGTGAATTTATCGTTTTGACGGGATACGTATCCTACAAAACTAATTTCAACAATCCAACCGTCAAACTTGTTTATACATGCTTCGAGATCGCATACTCCAAAAATTGCAAAAAACAAACATTCAGAGATGAAGTAATGAGACAAAACTTTTCAACGGTTATAAACGAAAAATCACGATTTAACGGTTATTTTAACTCTGATTTTGATGATTTTGTACAGCTACACTCCTTGACCTTATATGAATACAATGAATGAATTCGATCTTCAATTTAAAATATTTACACTAGTGGATACTACAAATCTTATGTTATACTTAATGAAAGTATAAATAAACTCTTAAGTATTAGTTAATGTATCGTTTTGATGGGATACGCATCCTATGAAACTAATTTCAATGATCCAACCGTCAAACTTGTTTATACATGTTTCGAGATCGCATACACCAAAAATTACAAAAAACAAACATTCAGAGATCAAGTAACGAGACAAAACTTTTCGACGGTTATAAATGAAAAATCACGATTTAACGGTTATTTTAACTTTGATTTTGATGATTTTTTACAGCTACACTCCTTGATCTTATATAAATACAATGAATAAATTCGATCTTCAATTTAAAATATTTACACTAGTGGATACCACAAAATCTTATGTTATACTTGATGAAAATATAAATAAACTCTTAAGTGTTGGTGAATCTATCGTTTTGATGGGATACGCATCTTACAAACTAATTTCAATGATCCAACCGTCAAACTTGTTTATATATGCTTCAAGATCACATATGCCAAAAATTGCAAAAAACAAACATTCAGACATCAAGTAATAAGACAAAACTTTTCGACGGTTATAAACGAAAAATCACGATTTAACGGTTATTTTAACTCCGATTTTGATGTTTTTTTATAGCTACACTCCTTGACCCTAAACAAATACAATGAATGAATTCGATCTTCAATTTAAAATATTTACACTAGTGGATACCACAAAATCTTATGTTATACTTGATGAAAGTATAAATAAACTCTTAAGTGTTAGTGAATTTATCGTTTTGATGTGATACGCATCCTACGAAACTAATTTCAACGATCCAACTGTCAAACTTGTTTATATATGCTTCGAGATCACATACGCCAAAAATTGCAAAAAACAAACATTCAGAGATTAAGTAATGAGACAAAACTTTTCAATGGTTATAAACGAAAATTCAAGATTTAACGGTTATTGTAACTCTGATTTTGATGATTTTTTACAGCTACACTCCTTGACCCTAAATGAATACAATGAATGAATTCGATCTTCAATTTAAAATATTTATATTAGTGGATACCACAAAATCTTATGTTATACTTGACGAAAGTATAAATAAACTCTTTAGTGTTAGTGAATCTATCGTTTTGATGGGATACACATCCTACGAAACCAATTTCAACAATCCAACCGTCAAACTTGTTTATATATGTTTCGAGATCGCATACGCGAAAAATTGCAAAAAAAAAACATTCAAAGATCAAGTAATGAGACAAAACTTTTCGACGGTTATAAACGAAAAATTACGATTTAACGGTTATTTTAACTCTGATTTTGATGATTTTTTACAGCTACACTCATTGACCCTATATGAATACAATGAATGAATTCGATCTTCAATTTAAAATATTTACACTAGTGGATACCATAAAATCTTATGTTATACTCGATGAAAGTATAAATAAGTGTGGATTTTTAAAACCCTCCAAATCTCATGAGCAATGTTATTTATTTGAGTGAAAAATTAATAATAATAAGTGTTAAAAATGTAATCACTCGTAATGAAAATGCCCAACCAAACTCAGGTTCGTCAATAGATTGTGATCAAATTCTTGATGAACTAATTTCTTTGGAGCAGGGCTCACAAAATCAAGCCAATGAGGCTTAACAAGGAGAATATTGGCAGCCATATAAGGAGTTCTATGCAACGCCTATGCAGCCACCACAGTCTGCCTCGCAACAATTCCAACCAAATTCAGGTTAATCAATAGATTGTGCTCAAATTCTTGATGTACTAACTTCTTGGATGCAGGAATTACAAAATCAAGCCCAAGTGATGAGTGAATTGAAGAATCAAATGGGAGAAATCGCGGAATTCATAGGGCAAATGCAAGAACAAAGTGAACTATCCGACTTAACTGTTGAAATTGCTAAAGCTATCACCTTGGAAAGTGGCATGGAGGTTGAAGATGAACCCAAGATGTCCAAACCAAGCCAAAACGTGGATGAACAGCTGTTGCTCGATGAAGAGGAGGATAACAAGGCCATGGCAAGGGAAGAACCACCTTTGCCGCAACCCTGTATGCCCTCTATGCCGTCCACTACAACCAAGGTAAGCCCAAATTCAATTCGTCTTGACCCTGTTCCACCAAATGTCCCTATTCCTTGTAGGATCATGCAATCCAAGGAAGAAGATGGTGAGACAGGCATCTTCGAAACCTTTCCAAAGAATCAAGAGCAAGAAATGGCTGGGGAATGTCTAGAATTCATCAAAGAGGATATACTTGAGACAACAATTCCCAAAGAAGTTGGATTTTATGACATGGGACAAGTCATAACTCTCAAAACACCAAATCTGGCTGAATTTTCTAGTCCTACAACTTTCGAAGGGGTGTTTATTCTTGAGTTCATGTCAGAGCACACAGGTCAGCCACCTCCCCGAATTTCAATTTTGTTTTATACTAATATGTTGTTAATGATTCAGGCACCCACTCTAGAATTTAAACCATTACTGGATCATCTCAAGTATCACCTCCCATTCAAAGATCAATTCCATCCCATGGGACCTAGAGGAGCTTAAAAGGAGGTATCGTCCGGCTGGAAGACGTTAAAGCAAGTGCTTCTTGGGAGGCAACCCATGCATTCAAATAAAGAAGACCTAGGAATCTCCGGCTCCACAACCAGATTTGCGTTCCTAAACCCTACTCTTTATTGCTTTTACTTTGCCATGATTGTCATGTTTGTTAGTTGTGTTGTTTGATTGTTTGCGTTTGAGTCTTTGTTTGAAACATTGAGGACAATGTTTGGTTTAAGTGTTGGAGGGGGGGGGGGGGAGAGGGGGGGTAAACAAAGTGTTTTTCATAAAAATTCGTTGGATTTTATCACTTATCACTTCTAAAGTTGTTATTCACTGTTTTTAAGTGTTTTTAGTGTGTTTTGAGGTGTTGTAATGTGTCTTAAACAGAAAATCCGAAAATTTGAAAAAAAAATTGAAAAAGAGTGTTTAAAAAACCCAAAAAGAGTCATTTTTAGAGTCGTTTTTGTTTTTATGTTTGTTTGTGTCTTAGGGTACCTTCCAACACAATGATGAGGATTTGGTTTTTAATTGCATGACTGTTAAAGAAAGTTACAAACATGGATGGAAGTTTGATATGCTCTTTGGTTTATGCTTAGTTGTAGTTGTCATTTACGAATTCACATGTAATCACAAAAAGGAAAAAATCAGTTTTTGTAACATGCTTGAAGGAAGAAACTCAATAACTAACGCTACAATCCTAAGAGACTTGAGCCTAAACTTTATTTCGAGAGTTATTAATTTTGATGTTTTTGTTTTCTAAAGTCATTTCATGATCTCATTATTTCTTTGCTTGGTTGCTACTTAGAATGCGTTTCATTATAGATCCAAATACTAGAACTCATGCCCGTTTCATTCAAAGCATAAAATTGAGTGCATAACAAATAACAAGATGAAGTTATTTAGTTAAAACCAGAGCCAAAAAGCCTTACCCTTTGTATATGTATTGTAGGTTTAACCCCTTTGAGCCTTAGTTAGCCTATTTTCTTTGTTAGCCACATTATCCTTACCTAGCCTAGAATAGGACTATCCATACCCTTGTTCTTAAATAATAGTGGAGCATGACTTAGAGGGAATTCCTTTGATCTACAACTTGCAGGAAAACAAATGTGGGGGAAGG